TAAAATACTTTAAAAATGCTACTAGGGCTCCGCTGCTGCTCGAAGTTCTCGCTGCTGCTAGGGCTCCTTTAAATTACCCTAGTACATAACAACAACAACAGGTAAAAACCAAGGAACCTTGATAGCACAGTGGTTAAATTGTTGACTGCTAAATAAAAAGTCAGTAGTTCAAATCCACCAGAAAGATCTGGTGATCTACTCACATAAGATTTGAACCTAGGAATCCCTGAGGGGCAGCTCGACTCTGCCCTATAAGGTGTCTATGAGTCAGAATGAATTCACCAGCACACAACAACAATAGGTAAGGCCTGCCTACATTTCACACTAGCTGTGTGGCCTTGAGGGAGTCCCTAAAACTCATTTTCTCTGTCTGAAAGTAGGGGTGATCATACTGGAACCTACTCCACAGAATTGTTTTGAAGGATTCTTTTGAAGGTACGTGAGCTGATGAGTTAAGCTCTGTATTCCATTAGCTATTATAATTGAATCCTGTGGTGGAGGGGTATGGGAAACATGAAAAATATTTAGTGTTTGCACGGGAAAGTGTAAAGTAAAAAGAAGAACTTCATTTCACATGTAACCAATCTAAGAATCTCACTGGAGCATGGTGGCAAAGCCACACTTATAAAGAGCAATGAAGAATTCATTTCATACTCCACTTTGCCTCTTTCTAATGGGAAGATATTGGATAAGTTCAACAAGATCTCTAAACCCTAGATAAAATACAGCACAGGAAAAGAGGAAATCATTATTTCCGACAGTCTAACCTGGTGTGGTGCTGCAGGATAATGCACTGGACCACAAGGTCAGTTTGAACTTCAAGGTCAGCAGTTCAAACTCACAAGCCACTCCTCGGAAACCCTATACAGGGTTGCTATGAGTCAGAACCAATTTAATGACTCTTAACAATAACAACAGCCTATTGAAAGAAGTCTATGGACGTTCATTAGGAGATAATCACCTTGTAGATAATAACAATATTCATTCATTCATTCATTCAACAGCATTTATTGAGTATCTGCTCTGTGCCAGTGTGCTAAGGTTTTCCAAGACCCAATGATTAGCTGGGAGACTCACAGGAATGAGAAAAGACTGTTATGCTCATGGTTATGACTTATTATAGGGAAAAGATACAGGCTAACATCAGCACAGTGAAAAGGCACTTGGAGCAAAGTCCAGGAGAAACCAGGCACAAGCTTCCGAGAGTCTCCCCGCATTCTCGGGGAGTCGCATGGGGATGCCCCTCATTCTCCCAGCATTGATGTTTGATAATATGGCCAACCAGGAAAGTTCACAGGAGATTTGGTATCCAGAGTTTATAGTAGGGACCAGTTACATAGGCATTCATTACTCAAGTGACTAACTTCAGCTACTCAGACTACAGTCCCCAACCCCTAGAGCAAAAACAGGCATGCGTCGTAAACCGCATTGTTAGCAGAAACATATCTCAAACTGGTAGAGAATGGCCCAAGGACTCAGGTATACAAAAGTACATTTTTCAGACAGGATATTTCAAGAACTCGGGGGTTATCCCTAAGGAGCTGACTCAAGGCAGTCCTGAAGGCAGACCTTTCATTGGCGTGTGCAAGGTTTGCACAATCTAGGCCCACTGAGTTAACCCTTTCCTACCAGACTAGTTACCACATTAGAATCAGGCACAGAGAGAAACTAAGCATACTCCTTACCTTCAGAAGGATCACAGTCTAGTGGGAGAAATGGACAAATCAGCAGACAAATGTGCTAGAAGGCACTATGTGTGTTCTAGAAAGGAGAGGAGGGTGGGTGTAGGTGGATGGAACTAGGAAGACCGTGAAAGGATTTGGCACATCCCAAATCTTAAAGGATGAATAGAGTTTCCCAGGCAGATGAGAGAAAGCAGGATGTTCAGATTCTGGCATGTATTCATTTGAATCTAGAGGAGAATTTATCCTCTTTGAGACTCAGCTTACTCATCCATTAACTGGAGATAGAATTGTTTGCCTCATACCTACACTGTGATGACTTAATGAGCTGTTGAATCTGTGGTTGGCACAAGCAGTTAACGTTTTGCTCACCTAAAGCTTAGTGGCTCAAGTCTACTTAGTAGGGCCATGGAAGAAAAACCTGACCGTCTACTTCCACAAAGATTACAACCCCGAAAACCCTATGTATTTCAGTTCTACTCTGTTACACATGGGTCATCATGGATCGAAATTGACAAGACAGCAATGGGTTTGGTTCGATTTTTTTATGTTCAAAGTGTGGCCAACCAGGAAAGCTCACGGGAGCTTTTGTATCCAGAGTTTATACTAGGGACCAGTCATATAGTGAATGTGCGCCTTCCGTATGGCTCACATGTCAACATAAAGAAAACAAAAAAACTCACAAATGGACCGACAAATGACATCATGTCAAATGGAAAAGAGATTGAAGTTGTCAGAGACTTGATTTTGTTTGGATCCACAATCAATGCTCACTGAAGCAGCAGTCAAGAAATTAAACAACATATTGCATTAGGCACATCTGCTGTACAAGATCTCTTTAAAGTAATAAAGCGCAAAGATATCACTTTGAGGACTGAGTTGAGCTTGACCCAAGCCATGGTATTTTCCATCATCTCATGTGTATGTGAAAGTTGAACAATGAATAGAAGAATGGATGCATTGAAATTACAGTGTTGGACACAAATATTGAAAGTACCATGGACTGCCAGAAGAATAAACAAATCTGTCTTGAAAGAAGTACAGCCAGAATGCTCTTTAGAAGCTAGGATGCTGAGAATTTGTATCTCATACTTTAAACATGTTACCAGGAAGACCAGTCCCTGGAGAAGAGCATCATGCTCTTCTCCATCTGCCAAGGTGATGGATTGACACAGTGGCATCAACAATGGGCTCAAACATCACAATTGTGAGGATGGCTCATGACTGAGCCGTGTTTTGTTGTCTTACGCATACAGTTGCTGTGAGTTTGAACCAACTCAACGACACCTAACAGTGGCTGTACAAATATTTTGTAAATTATAATGTCTAAGTCTGTATATGGTATGACTTTAGAATTTTATTCTTTTCACAGATACACGATATTTCCAGGGTGAAATGGACCCAAAGACCTCTTTCTCCATTGGGGGGAAACCCTGGAATGCACCAATGAGACTGGAAGACGTGAGTAAGGTGCATAAAGGCTTGACCCTGTGAACCAAACACAAGTAGGGCGCCTCCAAGCAGCCAAGAGCTGCCTCAAGGGATCTCATTAGGGAACGAGCAGGTCAAGTTCGGCAAGGAGGACTCACGTTACATGTTGCAAAGGGCTGACTTATATTACTGGCAGGATAAGCAGGGTTTTGTGGAGTTAAGTACCTAGCAGGAAATGGAACTACCATTTGTTAATGCTTCTCTGTGAACCAGGCATCGGGTTAAAGACTTTCACATATATCCATCTCTCATCACCTTCTCCAGAACCAGAACTGAAACTCAAATCTTTCTGACAATAAGAATATTTTTGCCTAGATTCGAGACCCAACTTGGCAAACTGCTGAGTGAGAATAAATCATGAAAACTCTCTGCACCTCTTTGTAATCTCATCTATAAAACAGGAATACTAACCCCCTATCAAAAACCATAAGTCATAAGTCGGTCCTAACTCTAACTATTATAGGACAGAGAGTTCCCAAGACTGTAATTGTTATGGGATCAGACTGCTATCTCTTTCTCCTGCAGGACAATGGTGGGTCCAAACCTTGTTTATTATTCTTAAGTGCTGTCAAGTCAG